TCAAGACGCAATTGAAAACCGAACCATACCCGTTAATGGTCGTAGATGGAGAGCCCATCTCGACTAATGAAGGAATGGTGACCCACGAAACGGTCCCATTGGAAATGGTCATGCTACACGGGCACAAGGAAACGATTCAGTTTGACATCGTGCACATGGACAACCATGCGTGCATCCTTGGTGTGCCATGGCTCAAGAAACACAACCCCCAGATCGACTGGTGGAACGAGAAAGTTGTGATGAGCCAGTGCGCGTGTGAACAACGGACGGACACGCGACAACGGGAGAAACCCTCCCAGGGCCGGAAGGAGTTATGTGCAACCTCCGAGCTCGATGACCTAGCCCAGGCATCCTCACCGACGAGTATACCGGTGGAGTACAAGAAATACGAGCGATTATTCCAGGAAGGCCCTAAGAACGAGGCGCTTCCTAAGCACCAACCATGGGATCACGAGATACCTTTGGAGAAAGACAAGAGTCCACCGTTCGGACCAATATATCAGCTATCGGAAAAGGAGCTGAAGGTACTTAAGGAGTACATCGATGATAACCTAGCGAAAGGATTCATCAGACCATCCACATCACCAGCAGGAAGTCCGGTGCTTTTCGTACCAAAGAAAGACGGCTCCCTACGGTTATGTGTGGACTATCGAGCGTTGAACAACATCACAATCAAGGACAGGTATGCCCTGCCGTTAATCAACGAACTACATGATAGATTTCAAGGAGCAAAGATCTTCAGTAAGCTAGATCTGCGAGGAGCATACAACCTGATCCGAATCAAGGCTGGGGAAGAGTGGAAAACAGCATTCCGCACCCGCTATGGCCTATTCGAGTATCAAGTCATGCCCTTTGGGCTAACAAACGCACCCGCATCTATGCAACGACTGATGAATGATGCTTTGCACGAATACTTAGACATCTTTACCATTGTCTACCTAGACGATGTCCTGGTGTATTCAGCAACCAAGGAGGAGCATGTCAAGCATGTCAAACTCGTCCTGAAGAAACTAAAGGAGTGCAGCTTACTCCTCAAACCAGAGAAGTGCGAGTTCCATAAAAACCAAGTCGAATTCTTGGGTTACATTATTGGAACGCACGGCATCAAGATGGACCAAGCAAAAGTAACGGCAGTGTTGGAATGGCCAACACCGACCACGGTCAAGGAAGTGCAAGCCTTCCTAGGCTTCGCCAACTTCTACCGAAGATTCATCTCGGGATATTCCAAGGTAGCTCAACCACTCACGGAGCTTACCAGAAAGGATCTCGAATTCAAATGGACGGACAAGGCAGAGGCTGCTTTCCAGGAACTTAAGACGAAGTTCACGGAAGCACCTATCCTTGCTACATTTGACCCTGCAAAGAAGATCATCCTCGAAACGGACTCTTCTGACTTCGCAATTGGAGCATGTCTGAATCAACCAGACGAGAACGGTAAGTTCAAACCAATCGCGTACTACTCTAGGAAACTGTCACCCGCGGAACTCAATTACGACATCCACGACAAGGAGCTACTGGCTATTGTCGTTGCCTTTGAGCAGTGGCGAGTATATCTTGAGGGATCCACCTACCCTGTGCAGGTATGGACGGATCACAAGAACCTCATATATTTCACCACGACCAAGGTTTTAAACCGCAGACAAGTCCGCTGGGCAGAAACCCTCGCAGCCTACAACTTCACGATAACCTATCGCAAGGGCTCTGAGAATGCAAGAGCAGACGCTCTCAGCAGACGGACCGACTACGCCGGCCCAAAGGAAGAAAGACCTAGAGCAATTCTGAAGAAAACAGATGCAGGAATACAGTACAACGAGTTACTAGCGACGATCTCAGTCATCGAAGATACAGAACTCGAGGAAAGACTCAAGAAAGCTTATGCAACAGACGAATGCGCCAAGCGAGTCTTGTCCAAAGTCGAAGGCGACTTCGCCATCGACGAACAAGGATTGATTCGATACAAAGGGTTAGTGTATGTCCCAAGTCAAATGAGACGCCCGCTGGTGCAAGAACAACACTCGTTACCAGCACACGGTCATCAGGGAGTAACACGAACCTTCGAACGAATCACTCGACACTACTACTTCCCAGGTATGAGGAAGCAGGTAGAGACAGTGGTAAGAGAGTGCGACATTTGCAGCAAGTCAAAATCCAATAGGCATCTGCCATACGGACAACTCAAGTCGACACCAGTACCAAAAGGAGCGTGGAAATCAATAGCTTTGGACTTCATCGTCAAGCTTCCACCCTCCAAGGACCCGTTAACAGGAATAGAATACGACTCTATCCTCGTCATCACGGAAAGACTCACGAAATATGGGAAGTTTATACCATATCTAGAAGCTAGCGACGCCGAGGCGCTCGCATATACCTTCATTCGAGTCATATTAGCCGATCATGGGATGCCAGAAGAAATCATCTCAGATAGAGACAAGCTCTTTACTTCGAAATTCTGGAAATCATTGATGGCGCTACTGGGAACAAATCATAAGCTATCAACAGCTTTTCATCCCCAGACAGACGGCCAAACAGAAAGATTAAATCAGACCCTTGAACAGTACCTGCGAAGCTATGTCAATCATCAACAGGATAACTGGGTTCAGATCTTACCCATCGCACAGTTTGCATATAACAGCGCGATGACAGAAGCAACGAAAGTCTCACCGTTCTTTGCCAATTATGGCTACCAGCCAGAAGCATATAGGCAACCAAGACCGGATGAATCACGAGCTGAACAAGCCCTGATCGTGGTGGAACAACTGAAATCGTTCCACGAACAACTTGCGACGGACATCCAATTCTTAAATGAACGATCCGCCGCATACGCAAACAAGAAGCGCAGTATGGAACCTGCCTTCAAGGAGGGGGATAAAGTATACCTACTCCGGAAACATATCAAAACGAAACGACCAAGCACAAAGTTGGACTTCAAGAAATTGGGACCATTCAAAATATTGAACAAAGTCAGCTCAGTTAATTACAGACTGCAGCTACCCAGGAAGTCTAGACTACACCCGGTATTTCATGTCTCACTACTGGAACCAGCAAGAGGAAATACCCCAGTTGCGACCGACACCGAACTCCAACCCGAGAATGAGATAATCGAATATGAGGTCGAAGCGATCCTAGACAGAAGGTTAGTAGGACGTCGAGAAGAGTTTTTGATAAAATGGGAAAATTACGAACCTACGGATAATTCATGGAAACCAACAAGGAACATCAGCAAAGAACTGCTGGAGGAATATCGACGCCGCCATCCGCCAGCCATTGATCCCAAGATGCAGGGGAGTAGGCCAGTGGATCGGAGGAAGCGGGGGTCCCGGTCACAGACGAGGAGGCAGCGCTAACTGCCTGTTCCTCGGCCTCAACAGCGTCACGCTTCTCAGCAGCCACACGTTCGGCCTCCTCTGCCGCATCAAGCTCGTCGAGGGTTTTCAAACCTCGCCGGAGCATATCTTTACCACGGGTTCGGATGAGGCGTTTCTGCTTCCGCAGACGAAGTAACTTCGAAAGGGTTTCTTCCTCTTCGCGATCCAGGCGATCCTCCTCCCGTTCGAGCTTCACCCAGTCGGGATGCTCAGGACCCATACAGTCACACTTTTCTTTCAAGTTGCGACGAACGCACTCGGCGCACCGCCGTGAATCATTTGGAGACGACACGCAAGTAATGTTTCGCCTCACACAATTCGAGCAAGAATCCATTTCGGGTAGTTCGTATCCGTGGTTCTTTATTCGACGGACAAGATCGTTGCGTTCCTGGAGTTTGCGGGCAGTGTCAGTAGGCATGTTGCATGTTGAAGGACTCGCTGAGGAGCAGCAGAGTCCCGGGGACATGGACGTACTTATAGGATTCGAGACGAATGCCCAGGGGAAGGGAGCGAGTGTTACGACGGAACAAGAAGGCTGGCCAACTACAGGACAGGAAGGAGGGAGGTCGCATGAGACCGGCCCTGGTACCTGGAGGGGCAGCGGGGAATAGTAGTTCCGAAAGTATCACGTGACGGACTCGCAGGATGATGAGAAGAGTCCTAAGAGTCCAGGACTCCGAGGGCTCGAGTGAGTTCCCAGGAGTCCACTAGGCACGTGATGGACTCGCAGGATGATGAGAAGAGTCCTAAGAGTCCAGGACTCCAAGGACTCGAGTGAGTTCCCAAGAGTCCAGTAGGCACGACGCCACTATATAAGTAGATAGTATTTCCTTAGATAGGAGCTTCGTGCTCAACTCAATACAGTATTTGTTATATACTAGTAACGTGTTACTTGAAGCCTTTGTGTCTGATCCCCTGCCTCTTCTGATAAGTAAACCTTTACTCAAGAGAACCTCTGTGTCTTCTATCGTTTAGAAGTCAGCGTTACAATTAGACACAAAGGCTTTCCAAGTAACACGTTACAGTATTGTAAAGAATACTATATTGAGTTGAGCACGAAGCTCCTATCTAAGGAAATACTATCTACTTATATAGTGGCGTCGTGCCTCATGGGTAATCTGGATAGTTGGCGGATAGCTAGATATTCAGGATAGTTTGTGGATAGCTCAACTATCCAATATCCACTAGTTTCTGCAACTATCCATTAGCCCCGTCACATGGCAGCCTACCCCGCTTCCCACTGTGACTCACACGTCACGTTACTAGGCCCTGGCCCTGTAACCATGACATCATGTTACTGTAGCCGTAACATATAGGTCATAGAGCAGGTGCAACATACGAAGAGTTGGGATCCAGTGGTATTTACCTTATAGAATGGCCCCCATACTCACCAGATCTCAACCCAATTGAACGGGTGTGGCATATTATGAAGAATTATCTACAAGATAATCATCCAGAACATATTTCCTATGACCAGCTCCATGTAGCTGTTAAGGAAGCATATGAGCAAGTTGGAGAAGCTGAGCTTAATGCTCTCCTTAATAGTATGCCTACACGTATGGCAGCAGTAATTGCTGCAAATGGTATGCACACAGAGTACTAGGCTTATAGTATAATTTTATATAGGGGTTTAGGTATCTACTCTACTCATTATTCTACAGAATTGATTGCTCTTGCACTCGAGTGTTCGTGACGCGTGAGAATCGGTACTTTGGCCAGAATTGCCAAGCCAGCCTACGCAGGGGGCCCTAGCCCGACCCACTCACAAAAACTTATGAACAACACCTCCGTACAGTAACGTCCTGCCGCTGAGCTTGGTTCTACGCCTAGCTCAGCCTAGCAGGTTACCTAGCTCCGACCTACCTAGCGAAGCTATTGGTGCCCGCTTTGCCTTCAGCGCTGGCGATGCCTGACACTGGCTGCCCTCCAGAACAGGTAATTCCTTCTTCGCTAGCTCGTGGGGGTATGGTGGGGGGCCGCTTTGCTCTAGCGTGTGTTTTCATATGATATCGAGTGCTTCGAGAAATTGTCCCACAGACGACAGTCCCGGGCTTAATTGAGCAGCTGGCTCGTGTGATTTGCTACTTGCGGCAATGGATCCTGTCGTTCCAACTATTTAGGCTGTGATACATCTAATAATGTCAATAGAACAGCGCTGCAAATCAAACAAATGCGCGCTTGAGTCAAAGCCGGGTATATGCCATCCACGCCCCCCCCCCATTGCTTTCATTGGGACTATGCCTTGTAATACTCTATAGTTCCTCCAGGACTCCTCCCTTACGCGTAGAATCCCTGCCAAAGTTTTCTCCACAGCGACCTCCCCTTCCCCGTATCCACCGCATCCTCCACCTCGACATTCGCGATGTCCACATCCGCACGGCGGCCATGATCCAGGTCCACATCCTCGATCTTCTGCCACTCCGTCTTGTTCACCCACTTGAAGACCCAGAAAATGACTGGGAACAGCACGAGCAGGATATATGCGTCAACGAATGTGCCAGCCGTGAACGGTGCCAGCGTAGTCCAACCTTGGATCAGCGCGAGGAAGATGTTAGCGCCGAGCCCAAACCAGGCGTTGTACGGGTACAGCCACGAGCGGAAGGGGAGGTCCTCGACGCGGCGTCCCTGGACGGCCCAGGCGCTACGGAAGCGGATGTGGATGAAGGAGATTGCGCCCCATACCAGAAAGGTCGACACGCCGGACAGATTGACGATGTAGCTGTAGGCAGTGGCGGCGCCGGTGGAGACATTCATCATGGACAGCGCACCGAAGAGGTTGGTGAAGACAATGGCGGCGGTAGGGACGCCACGCTTGTTGGTCTTGCCAAGGATGGCGGGGGCTTTGCCGTCCTGCGCCATGAAGAGCACGGTACGGCTCCCGATGTAGATGGAGGAGTTGATGGCGGACAGGCACGTGACGAAGATGAAGGCGTTGATGAGATGGACGCCACCGTACCAGCCGGCGTTCTGGATGGCGATACTCATGGGCGACTTGAGGGCGCGCGCGGCCTCGGAGAACTGCGGCGAGTTGGCGGGACACGTGAGCCCGAAAAATAAGGCGCTACCCATGTAGATGAAGAGAATGCGCCAAAACACCTGGCGGATCGCGAGCGGCACGGCGACGGACGGGTTCTTGGTCTCTGTCGCGGCAACGGCGATGGACTCGCAGCCCGCATAAAAGGTTGCGCAGAAGACTAAGACGGATGCGACGCCGCGGAAGCCGTCGCTGAATGCGCCCGGGTCGTGCCAGTACCTAAAGCCAAGGGGCTCTGTCTGCCCCTTCAGCCCTCCAGCCGCATAGATGATCGAGAAGATGAAGTACGCGACCAGGCCCGCCAGCTTGATCAGCGCGAGCCAGAACTCCGCCTCTCCAAAGGCCTCCACGCCGAGCAACTGGAATCCGAGGAAGAAGAACCAGAAGAGCAGGAAGTAGCCCCACAGCGGGACCTTGTCGCTCCAGAAGTTGAAGATAGAGCAGATGGCATTGTACTCATTCGCCAACACCGCGGCCCAGATGACGAAATAATTCCAGCCGACTGCAGCGCCGAAGGCCCGATCGACAAAGCGGTCCGCGAGTTTGGTGAATGCGCCACCGCTGGGATACAGCGTCGTCATCTCGCCCAGGGACTGCATGATGCTGAACGCGATGATGCCGATGACCCCAAAGCCGATCAGCAGCGACGCAGGGCCTCCCTGGTGCAGCGCACCTCCCGCGCCAACGAGCAAGCCGGGCCCAATGATACCCGCCAATGCGAGCATGCTGAGATGTCTGGTCTTGAGCCCGCGCCTCACGCCGCTGTCCGGATCCAGCCGCTCGCTCGTGCTGCTAAAGTCATGGTCGGGCTGGTCCTCCAGCGAGGACGCGTCCTTGGTAGTGGGCCCTAGATATTCAGCCATGCTAAGGTGATGGGGGAGATCAAGGAGAGTGAGTCCGTGTGGTGAGCGAGGGACACGGGCGATAGTTATATATCTGCTCTGACGGGGCCTCCCCACGACCACATAGCATAGCATAGCGCCATGGCGCCATAGCGCCATCACTGGGATAGTACTGTCGCACCCCGGTTCGGTGAAACCGGTGAAGCCAGTGAAGCCAGGGAAGGCAGGGAAGGCAGGGAAGCCAGGGAAGCCAGTGAAGCCAGTGAAGCCAGTGAAGCCCTGCCTTGCCTCTGCTGACTAAGGTAGTGTGTCTTAGCGCGCAGGATCGGCGTCGATAGCCCCCTGCACGGCGAAAATCAACAAGGAAAGGAATAAGATTGGCCCGAGAGGCATCACGTCATTCATGGAGGTTTCATCGGGAGGTGAAGTGGGGAACGGGAGGTGAAGTGGGGAACGGATAAATGGGATTAAGTGGACCGCCGTAGACCACTAAAAGTTCGGGTCGGCTTAACGCCCACGCCGACCCACACGTGACCTTGGCGTCGATGTCAACATGGTCGTTGCATCTTCAGCTTCAGCCTTCAGCCTGTCTGTTCACCATCAACCTCTTGAGCATCTCCAGGAACCCAGGAAGGTGCGAATGGCCCGTTCAAGAGCCTCCTGTCTGGGGAAGGAGCGAAAGGATAAAGGATAGAGCGGTCAGTCAGACCAGGCGCCATTCACTCCTCAAAACATGCCGTGCCCTTATATCTTTTGCAATCCCCCTTTGTCGTCCGTTTCGCCACTCAAACGACAAAGAGAGATTGTCGCATCTTGCTTTCACAGAGCCTCTTCCTGTGTGAGACGACAACAAGAACTCTCTGTTCGCCTGGCACGAGTAAGGGACCATTCTTCCCTTCGTTCTGAAAAGATACATAAAAGCTGGCCTCGGCGCATCTCAAGTCCTCCGAAAACCAAGCAGCAAACCCGCCCACCGGATCAAGGTAAGTCAAGTGCAACCACAGGTAAGTATTTTTTTTTATGTCCACGTCTCCCGGTCAGGTAAGATGTGTCGGTTTTCCATGAACTTCTGCAGTTGGTGCGGCCATTTCTACATCCACAGAGCACCCTGCGTCATCCCTATTTGCACTTTTACAGGCAGTGCTCCAACCCGCTTCTCTCTCCAAGATGACTGCCCAGCCTGCATGGGTCACCCCGTTCAACCCACGCCTCCCCCATCCCCGGCCACCATAGCCCACAGCCGCTTTTTCACCCGTCACGATGCCCTCGCCGACCAAACCGGCACGCGCGCACGGCGCCAGAACTTATTAGTCAACACGGCGGACCATTACAGCCAGCCACAGCAACCAACGTATTCGCTATACAGCCCAATGACGGCCAGACCCGAGCTCCTCCGCGTTGTCCTCGTTGCTGAACTGCCCGAGAATAGCGCCGCCTGTCCAATCTGTGGCGGTCCGCTCTCCGACTGTACCTTCGACCCCGACGCCTGGGACAAAAGCGAGTTTCCCGTGTACCTTCCTTGCGACCATCGACACATCTTCGGGGCCTCCTGCGTCCTACGCTGGTTGAAGGATAACAGCACATGTCCGGTGTGCCGGTGTGAGTTTAATATAGACCGCGAGACGGGTGGCCCTTGGGAGACTGGCGAGGAGCGCGCTCGCCGTATCGCCGATCGGCCGACGTCTGAGGTGAGGATTGTTGATGAGGAGCTGGAGTTTGCGGATTAGAGTGACCGCCCCATGCCCAGGGGTCTCGATGGTGAGGCACAAGACGGTGGGGTCGGTGAGTCGGGAGATAACATCGCAACAGAACGAAGGAGAGAGATTGAACTTCAAGTGGACGAATTGATTCAAGAGGAATCAAGAAATAGGTAACCAGGTAACTTCACTAGGTGAGTTAGGTAAGCAACTCCCGTTCGTTATAAATATCCGCTTTCCTTGGGAGGTTTGTATCGGGTAGGCAACCCTTGTTTGATATCTTATCCCCTTTCCTTTCAAGATTCGTCTCGGATCGGTAGATTGACAAACAAACATTACTACAAAACGCCAAGGAAGCTACGAGTTACAATTTATAGACATAGAACTCTTCCATATATAATTAGACATAACGTGGTTTATCAGTACGTCGGACATATCAGTACCTCGGGCACTTTTCATTGGCATTCTACTTTGAATATCAATAAATCAACCATAACATATTAAATTAACTATAACTAAGCGGAATCAGATGAACTAGACATATCTATAGCTTCTTGACAAGTTCGCGCATTATGACCAGCTTTTCCACAGATCCCACAGCATCGCCTAGACGGTTGCCCCTCCTTGTGACTACCCCCAACAGCACGTACGTCGCGTCGTACCTGCTCATCCACATCCTTCTGTGCGATAATAGCCTGTGCATCCTCTACTATAAGTGCACCTCCTTCACGGACACGAGCCTTTTTAGCCCTGCGGCGTTTGCTAAGGGCTTCGTTGGCTGCTCGAAGGGTACGTACCTCAGCAGACAGAAGGGTGTTCTCATGTGCTAGTCGCTCCGTACCCTTTGCCAATGCAATAACTGTCCTGAAGAGTGGAGTTGGCGAGCTTCCTTGGTGACGGGCAATTCGATTTCGAACGAGGGTTGTTTGTGAAAGAGCTTCAGTTGGGTTGGAAGGGGTCTGGGAGACCCAAGGGTTGGTGTTGGCAGTAGAGGGTCTAGAGGGAGTTGGAGTCCGTAACCTCACGTCAAGCTTTGAAAGCACTGCTTGCGGGTCGAAAGGCACTAAGCCAGCTCCGCGGAACCCGGACTGGGCGTTTTGGGCTGTCATGGATTCCAGATATGCTGCTCTAAAGGCGAGAAAGAACTCGACCTTGGTAATGTGGTTGATATGAGCCTTAATGAAGGTCTCAATCTGCCGACCATATGCCCGCTTCAACACACTAAAGCACCCGACATCAAGTGGCTGAGTTAAATGAGACGAGTGGGGAGGTAGTCCAAGAGTTATAATGTTGTGTGCCTTGCAGTACTCTTGGAACTCGGCCGATTCATGACTCTCGTGCCCGTCTAACACCAGCATTCGATATGGACCCCTTGCACGAACAGCAGTATGTTTGTCGAAGTGTTTCAACCATTCTAGACCCGTCTCATTGTTTGTCCATCCATTGCTTGTCGGTTTAACAACCCAGTTGTGTGGAAGGCCGCCGTCTGTATACCAATTTGCAAGATGATTCTTGCCTTTAACTACCAAAAATGGAGGAATACTCCAGCCGTCACTGTTGATACAAGCAATCGCTGTAGCCCATTCCCGCTTACCTCTGCCAAGTCGATCTGCACGGGTAACAACCATTGCAGGGCAAATCACACCCATCATAAACCCAGTTTCGTCAAAGTTATAGAAGTCGCAGTCCAAAACACCATATTTTGCCCTCATATTTTCCACTAGTCGAAACCACGCGCCAATTAGTTCAGGATCTTCGCACAAGGCCCTTTGGAAGTCGTAAACGCGATTAAAACGCGTCTTTAATTCTGGACGTCGTTGTACAAATCGGTGGGCCCAGAGCTTCCCGACGCGCCTCCCTCCACGTGACTCGAGTATAAAATTTGCCATATCTTCTACACCAGCAAGCCGGGGTGCAAATCCTCTTGAATCCATATCAAGTATATTCCGAATAACCACCTCCTCTTCTAGTATAGTTAATTTCATCATTGCAGGCCGGCGTTCGTAGACAGTAGTTCGGCCGTTCATTCTGTCGCAGAGTGTAGAATGAGGTACTTCATAGAGCTTAGCAGCCTTCCGACGACTTAGATTTTTTGATGTTCGGATAGCCTCGATAGCTAGAATGATTTTTGCTTCTTGGGTAATCACTGACATAATAAAAGGTGGAAAAAACGCGTTGTGAAGTTAGAGGGTAGGAAATTCGGGAAAAGTGTCCGAGGTACTGATATGTCCGACGTACTGATAAACCACGTTATCTCTCTTTGAAAACCGTTTCGCCTTCGTTTGTTATATTGCTTCCCCTTCTGACCTTTGCACACAACGACAGACAACACTATGGCCACGGACCGATTAAACAACTTAACTCAGCAATAGCTCACGGAAGCAGTGCAGCAGATTGTTGATAGCCCTAAATTCTGGGTTAATAATGGGTCATATCCCGGTTGAGATGAGACGCCAAACAAAGGAATCAACTCACAATGGCTACATCCAAGGTGCGTTCAGAGGCCTCTCATTAATTCACCCATCTCACTATTCATAGTTCGATACCAAAATGCCAAAATGCTAGTACATCGAGTTACTTTTCGCCATATGTATGGCACACAACTAAATCCAGGGCTCGAGATTTCACACATTATGAACTGTGGCTCACCCAGTACTTCGTAGGTTTCCGTCTACCTTGATAACTAGGGATGGATATTAACTGTCCATAGAAATATCAATCCTTTGCACATGGTGGAAGAGCCCGGCATTCTCAACCGCTCCCGCATATGCTGCTTTCTCTTCATGGACGACAATTGCCGCGAGTGCCTTACCAGCGCCAGTGGAACAAACCGAGGGCTATATCAACCCGACCACCGTAATGCCATGCTATAAATGCCGCCATGTTTAATAGGGAGGCGGGAAAAGTTCAACGCGTGAAAGTGTATTTCGGTGCGGTAGAATATTCACTATGGCCCGAAATGCAAAAGGCATCTTGAGGAAAATAATTTCGATACTCTCCACTAAATAGAAATAGTCCCAAGATTCTACTATATCCTATAAATCATCTCTCATCCGCTAAATCCCAACGCCAAGTTGGCCAGCACCAGAAACATCCAGCACCAGAAACATCCAGCACCAGAAACATCCAACGCCCCTAAATCCCCACCCAGACTCCCAAACATGTCTTGTAATCCTCACATGTGAATCCCGAGAGTGAACACTCACATACTCTCCCTCCTCTCCATCTGATCCACAATCTCCTGGACCCTCTTCCCTCTCAAGCTCTTCGCTGGCGATGTAGACCGACTCGACAGAGGAGTGTCCGGAGCCGCCTTATTGGATGGCGTCTGTGGCGAGGCAATCCTCTTGATGGGAGTCGGCGGCGAAGCCCTCCCATCCTCCGGCTCCGGGGTCGCCATCCTACCCTCTTCATCGCGCCCCTCCCGAGTGGGACTTCCTTCCCTCTGCATCCCAATATCGCTTTCATCATCCTCGACGCCCTCATCCTGATTCACCACGCGCAACCTCTCCTTCGGCACCGTAAACATAACCTGCACCACCCTGCCCCTCACCGCTTTCTCGACATCCCACTCCCCTTCCTCCGCTAGTGGCGCCGTCTCCAGTCCCGCAACCGAGTACGGTCGAGGCCCTACCGCACCCTCATCAGCGCTATCCTCCCAGTCCCCTCTTCCCTGCTTACGCCGCCACAGCATCGACCCCGCGCTCGCCGCGCGCTTCGGCACTGTCTCATCGTCGCGATAGGGTTCACTCCCAAAGGCCGCACGGATAGGTGATGGGGAATCAACATATCTCTCCCCCTCTTCCACACCAGGCCCGCTCACCCACTCCTCCTGTCCAAACACCTTTTTAAAACTTCCCAACCATCCGGGCGGCTTCTTGAGCCCCTTGCTTTTACTTGGGCTTCCAGACCCCCACTCACCCGGCCGTGGGAGCAGTGACTCTGCCTCGACGCGTAAGGCCGGGAAGCTTCCCCCCGAAAGCGCGGTGACGAAGCTGGCCGAGCCACCGCTGACGCTACCGCTATCTGCGCTACGCGGTGGCGGGGCTGTCAGCGTGCCGCCCGAGCGGTCGGATGTAGTGCTGATGGACCCGTTGGTGAAGTATCCTTCGGCGGTCGCACGGCCGCTGCTCGGCGCGTACACGCCGTGGACATACTCGACGCGGCGCGCAACGGTGCCTGATGTTGGCCCAGAAGCGCTGGATGATGCGAAGGGGTTCCATCCGGCGGCGCCGCCTGTGAAGAACGCGGTGAGAGAGTTGCTCCGCGTGGCTTGACTGTCGCTCCGGCTCAGGGTCACGGCGCTCTGTTCGCTGAGATTGCTTGCTGTGCGTCCAGAGGTGGATTCTTTCCTTGGGATAAGGCGTCCGCTTTGTGTCATGGATTGGGAGCGAGAATGGCTTCCCATTAGGGCGTCGGCGGCCGCCCAGTCAGCGACCCATTCGTTGACTTCGCGCTCGCATTCTTTGGCGGCCGAGTCTGGCGAGGGAGTATTGCGGTCTAGTGAATGGGGATTGGCGGGGGGGTGGAGCTGGTAAGGGCGTATATCTCCTGTTGAAACCTGACGTGGCTCGGTGAACGGATCGGAGTGATCATTCGAGGACGATGGAGGGTATTCAACAGCCTGGCCGACATTCAACAACCCGGCGTCAGCAATATCATTATCCTCGTCCGCTTCGTAAATAGGGTGGATCGTGCCCGCAGTCCCCAGACTATTCGCCCTCGTGTGGTTTGTCCCGAAATCAAAGCTAGAATATTGGTTCGTAGACAATAGCGGCGGCTGGCTGTATCCCCGCGAATTCCTCGAGCTCTTTGGCTTCCGCGGTATAGTGAAGCTGCTCCTCTGCGCCGGAACGACATAGCTTAGATTCCTATCATCCTTGTAATCATAACCGCCATATGAGAGTGCCTCATACGCTGCACCGCCGGCATTTCCCCCTCCAACACCCATGCTCCGGTTCCCAAGATTCTGGCTATTTTGCCTCTGCACCATCTCGCCGTTGTATGGCCCATAAAACGAGTCTCGTCCCTCGCAATGCGCTGCCTGGCTGAGAGCATGGAGCTTCTGGTGTCTCTCTCCAACCCTCTTGGCATGAGCCCTCCGCGCGTACCAGATACAGAGGGCGGCTATTGCTATCGCCACCGTTCCACCAATACCCGCGCCAACTCCTATCTTCACTTTCTTCGAGTTGTCATCCCAGCCTGGCGCCGCCGGATCGGTTGTACCGGCCGTAGCAGCAGGATTCGGACTGGCAAATGAAGGATTCGTATAGTCGTTGACCCAAGTCATAGTCGTAGTATCGAGAAGCAACGTCTGCAACTTGTTATCCGCCCGCTTCTCCTTAGACGCCGCAGACGAAATCCTGCGTCCACCGACGACCATCATGACGCCACCAGGAAGCATAACAGCACCATGCCCATAAATCCCCTCCCCTCCGCCAATACCACTACCCGCCGCATTGGGAACCTCCCAAGCCCAGTCCCCATCCCCACCAAGCTGCAGCACCAGCAGCTGCGGTTCCGCAGGTGTATCCACATCTCCCACCCACCCCCCAAACACCACAATCCTCCCCCCATCTCCACTCAACAGCGCCGTATGCCCCGACCTGGAATCTGGTACCTCATCCCCCGACGCCCTAATTACCGCCAGCCCCCCTCCTCCCAGAAGATTGCGCGCGCTGACGGACTGGAACGTCCACGTCCCCTCCGGCAGGGCTAGGACCCCAACGCGGTCCATCCCAATGAACGCACCGGCCGTGTGTCCGCCGATGAGGACGTGCTCTGCGCCCGCCGAGGAGCTCGCGTTCGCGAGCGTTGGTGCCAGAGAGGTGATTGTGTGGCCAGCTTCCGGAACCAGTTTTTGGCCGTCCGCAGCACCAAGAGAGAGGGTGTATGATGCGGAGGCTCCTGTGGACTTGGGGGGCGTGAGCTTGAGCAGTGTGTTTGTGTAGTTTGCCGAGGCTTGCCAGGTGTTTGCGTTGGTGTTCGCAACCGTGGGGCACATCCCGCCCAGCACGAACATCGGCGTATTCGCGGCATCTGCCTCTGACTTTGTCGAGAAGTAGAGGCCTGCCGCGAGGAAGTTTGTATTGCGCAGCTCTGACGACGTGGTGTCTGCGGAGTCGGATACCGCTGTCTCGGACCACTTTCCTGACTTCGCGCTCCCCGAGCTGTATGTCCACACGGACGAGTTCAACGCGCATGAACCTGCGTACACACCGATATCGCCAGACGGCTTCATCGCCGGTATGAACGCGATACCATCGTTGCTCCCCTTTAAGAACGGCAAACTCTTCGAGAGGACGGTCGGCGAGAGCTTCGCTACATCGATGCGCGAGGAGATGTCAAGGGCAAGCAGCTCGCCGGCAGGGGCGCTGGAGGAAGAAGGTAGTAGGATGTAGGCTTGCTCATTGTCGGGCGCGAGGAAGATAGATGTTGGGTTATAGGGGAGTTGTTGTGCGTTGGCATGCAGTAAGACGTGGGCCAGGGCGAGCCAGAGAGGTGGGGTTCTCATCGTGGGGAGAAGTTGGCGGTTCGCCAGGCGGAGGAGATACGGGCGATAGATGAGAAGTTATTAGGTGGGGTTGACCATGGCCGCTTTGCTATCCTGTTCAGTGCTGACCTGTATCGAGATGGATGTGGTTTTGAGGTTCCTCAGAACTTGTGTCTTTCGATGTGACGGGAATAGATGATAAATGAGTGATGAGGCCGAGCGATCGGCGGCCTTGTAGATCGAGATCTGTTGGTTGACGAGGATGTAAACTGTACCACAGTAAACACAACGCACATAATCTCCAATCCTGCAGGGCAGCGGGCCTAGAACAGTAACACTTTGCGATCCACTGTCAAGAACGCCATCTAATTAATGGCGACTGAGGCTGGTATTGACACGAAAATGGAGTTTGGTGTTGACATTGTTTATCCGCGTTGCCATGGTGATGTGATGACGAGTATTATGACGCTTGCGGACCTCCATCCCATGTGATTCACACCTATGACATTGATTGACATGCGATTTTATGCGCAAAGGGTTTACATGATATTGGCGTCTTTTGTGGTCTCGGTGTTCCAGTGGCTACTTTGCAGTTGGTAAAGACATGTTTAAGAATTCATTCCCCTGCTCATTCACTTTCCAAAAAAATCCATATCATCATCACGTGCGTGGTGAGGGCTTCACGCCTCGAATATCGAAGAGCTATTTCCCTGAGCTGGTACCGTGCCAAAACCCCTAAGACTCCCTATGCACAAATAAATAAGCGCCGTAGCAAATCGTGCGCAAAACCGCATACAACTCACAGCTCAGCCTTCCTCCCTGCCTCTTCCGCCGCTCTTCCAACCTGCTCCTTCGCCGCCGGAAAGTAGCCCTCGAGATCCATCCATTCCGCCACAAATGCCGTGGTGATCATAGCCCAGTCTTCCACGCTAGCTGGGTCGAGGTGCTCGCCGTCATCCGTGATTTTGTGCCACGCGTCCGGGAACGGGTGGGGGATAAGATGCAAGATCTCGACGCCGCGCTTGAGGAACGGCACATGATCATCCTGCATCATAGGCCCAAGCCACGGGCCGTTCTTCTTTTCGGCGTCGATGAGAAAGGGACTGGCGGGCGTGGACTTTGCGGTCGCGATCGCGGGAGAGCGGAGGCGGGATTCCAGCGTCGCCATGTGCTTGTAGGCCCAGTGGGTTGTTTTCCAGTAGGAGGGGACGGTGGGGCCAGGGGCGCCGAGGAGATCGAGTAGCATGAAGAGGCTGATGGAATGGAGAGGGGTGCGGTAGATGGAGAGAGCGGGGTGGGGCTCGGCGTGCATTGCTTCGGCAAGGGATCTGGTTGTGATGTGTTAGTTACTGCTTGTGGATGACGAGAACAGAGCTGAAGTATCGCAACAAAACAAAAGCGCCCGGGTGAAGCAGTAAAATCTCACCTCGCGCCATAGAGCGAATCCGTGTCTGTCCAGTCGACAAACGCCTCCTCCCCATCTAGCAATAGTATCTGCAGGCCCTTCTCTTGCCCCCTGTTCTCATCCACTCCGTCCTTCACCATCTTCTCCCACTTCCTCGTCAGCGCTTCATCCACACTGCGCGCCGCATGCATTATCATCGCGCATGGAGCCGCACTATCCGTTGCGCCGATGAAGCCCTTCGGCTCGACCTTGCTGTCGTAGTGGGCGACGAGGGCGAGGCGGCCGACGTTGCCCGGCTGAGCCCACGGCGGGTCGCGTATCAGGATCAGGTTGACGAAGGGGACATCGCGAGAGCCGGTGGCGGGGGTCTTGGAGGTAGAGTTCTGGAAGGCGACGGTCCATTTGGGAAGGTGGGTCTGGAAGAAGTTGACGAAGTGGTTGAGGACCTTTGTGGAGCCTTCGGTGCCAGGGACGCGGGGTATGAGGATGGGCGCGAGGAGGGCGCCGGTGTGGATGTCAAAGTCGGTACCCGGGGAGGGAAGATTCTTTAAAGTCGTATCAGAGAGAGGTGTGTATGCTGAGACGTGGTGGAGGAGGAAGGCGGCGAAGAGGAGGAAGATGGTCGAGAAGCGTGGCATCAATTGGGGGGCCATGGCGGCGGTTATGCGGTGGTCAGCGAGCCTCGATAATCTCTGCAAGCTGCATCACCGCTCAGCTGTCGAGATCATGAGGTTGTGTGAGGGATTGTGGAATATGGTCGGATGGGTTTCGTTTGAAGCCACGTTCGTGAGTTTTCATGTTGCGGACTGTGGATGAGGCTAGATCTTATCTTATCCCGATCCGATCGTTCCCGCCGCTAAACGCGCTTATTTATCCTCCTTGTCCCTCGCAGCTCAGACACTCATTACCACCCCAGTCTATCGCGCTTACCATAGCTCACCTTCGGCCTTGCAAGAATTATTTAACATTGAACCTCCATCCTACATTTCAACCTCGATATCCACGCAATTGCACCCGATCCCACTCGCGATTACCATTATTGTCAAGCCCTTTGACACATCTACAACCGAATATCCATCCAACCGCTCTTCAATACAGTCCTTGCACATGAGGTAGCCAAACGCCTTGGTTCTTCGCGGGGTACGCCTCAATCCAATCCAATACACCCGATTTCACACCACACGATCTCCCTCCGGAGTCGACATAAACTGTCATAACACAACTACACCATGCTCCTCTTCCGATGCGCCCAGCAGGCGCGCCTCTTGCCCTCGCGACTCCCCGCATCCTCACACCTCCGAATCCGAGACCAATGGGAAGCCCTTGCCTGCACACCCAACTCTCCAACAATCCGCCTCCTGACGACTAAACCCACGACTAACCCTACAACCAAACCCACAACCAAACCTACCACAAAGACCAGCTCCCCTCCCCTCCCCTCCAAGCCGCCCACCGGCAAGCCGAGTCCGTCCTCCCCAGCACCTCCCCGGAAGCACCCAGAGTTAACACTTAACTGCAGTCTACCCTGTCCGTCTCCCCATTTACCACGCCGGCACGGCACCGACAGTGATCGTAGGCTTTATGAGAGTCAGTAGCATCATTTCAGTTTCCCTACCCGTGCCATTCCTGCTGTTTGGCCACACAGAAGTAGCCTCGACATTCCTGACTGGTAAGCTCCCCACCCCTCACACGCCAATATCCCCCGCGTGAGATCCTAAGCGGCTTGTCCTTCCCCTACTCCCATCTTTCAAGCTCCCCCTACCCATCTTCCAAGCTAAACCTCTCACAGCTGCCGTTGCCTTTATAATCTCGTCCTACGTATGTGCCCCTCGTGTCGTCGCAATGTACCTCCACCTCCCCTCCTACACGCGCTACTCCCCCGAGCTGCTCAACCGGTACGTCGCCTCCCTCCCCAAAACCGCCGAGGTCGACATCAAGACCATCAATGCGGCCGGGATACCACAGACCACAACGCTCGCGGTAGGGGATCTCGCAGCGGTGGACGGCTTTCGGCTGAATGCCGTGAACTTCTGCAGGGTGGGATTGGCGGGGAAGCGGCCGTGGTGGGTGGGCAAGGGGTTTTGGGCCGGGAGGGGGGCATGGGAGTTTGCGGTTAGTGAGATGGGACCTGAGAAGGGGCTGAAGATGGCGTGGGTGTGGGATGCGATTGCAGAGAAGGTTAAGCAGGGGAAGTTTGGGGGTGCGGCGGCGCCTAGGGTGGGCGAGGTGGTTCAGGCAACGGCGGTTGGGCCAAAGAAGAAGCTGTGATATACCCAGAGAGAAATAAATAGAGCATGCCACGTAAGGTAAGATAGATGGAAAGATAGCGCCATGTATTACAATGTAGAATTAGCTTCCAAACCGCATCTACCAATCCAACAAGGTCTATCCACCTATGAAGCACACATAGCTATAGCCCAAATACCCCAAACAAGACAATAAATCAGCTACCTAATCCCAGCCAACTCTGTCCAAATCCACGCCACACACTCCACGTCACTACATCCTCCCCACGCTCAAATCCCCGCAATAGCCTTCATCAACACCTCAACCCCCCTCTCCGCTCCCTCTCCCAACACCCCCCCCTTCAGCATCCACGCAATATCACTCTGCCACCCAAGCGGGACATACGTCCCCCTCTTCGCCACCTCCAGCCCCACCGTCAACCGACTCGTGTGCTCCCACTCCTTCGCCGCAACCTCCGCACGCTCCACCACCTTGCGCGGAATCCCACACATGCTCGCGCAGTGCATCCCGAAGCTGCCCTGCGCCACGCCCTCCTCGAGGCGGTACAGGAAGGTGACTCTCCGCTCCGCCTCGTCGACGTTGATGGCCATGCGGCGTGGCGCGATCTCGGGATGGCCTGCGAATTCGGCGGCGAGGGAGTGGTAGTGCGTGGCGAAGAAGCCGATGGCGCCTACGTGTGTGGCGACGTGGTGGAGCACTGCCTGCGCGACGGCGACGCCGTCGTAGGAGCTTGTGCCGCGGCCTAGTTCGTCGAGGATGACGAGGGAGCGTGGGGTTGCTTCGGCGAGAATTTTCTTCGTCTCTGAGAGCTCGAGGAAGAAGGTGGATTGCGCCGCGAAGATGTTGTCGTTTGCACCTAGCCTGGACATGATGCGGTCGATCGGGGTGAGCGTGGCGGATTCCGCTGGGACATAGCACCCAATCTGCGCCATGATTGCCGCAATGCATGTCATGCGGAGGATGGTGGATTTGCCGGCTGCGTTGGCGCCGGTGAGGAGGTTAATGTTTGGCTCGGCGCCGCCGAGGCGGATGGAGTTGGGGATGAAGTCCGTTACGTTGGGGAGGACGCAGGGGTGGCGCAATTCGGTGAAGTCGACGATGGTGCGTTCGGTGTCGACGAAGGTGGGGCGGCAGCTGGGGGAGCCGAGGCCAGCGGAGGCACGCGCGAGGGAAATGAGGCAGTCGAGCTGCGCGATGATGTTCACAGCGGTGAGCCAGGTGGTGTAGCCCTTGTCGAAGCGCTGGAAGAAGCGGCCAGCGGTCGCCTTGACGATTTGGCCGTGCGTCTCCTGTGCCTCTTGGAGCGCGCGCACGAGAGTTTTGAGCTCGGGGAAGTAGTATCGCTTCTCCGACTTGGTGGAGGAGACCATGGTCCAGTCCTTGGGAACGGCCTTGGAGTTCTTGACGGGGACCTCGAGCTGGTAGATTTCCTTGCCAACATCTTTGAATTGGACACCCTTGGTGCCGAGCTTTGCTGCCCACTCCTTCTTCAGTCCGAATAATTCTTGCTTGATGCCTAGAATGCGGTCCTCGCTATCATCGAAGTCCTCTTCTATCCCACGCTCTGGGACCAGCAGCCTCTCATCGCGAGCCTTGGTGCGGTCGAACGCCGTCTTCCAGTACTCGAGTGGCCCAACAAGATCAGGCATTCCAGAAATGAGACGGTCGATGATGCCATCACCCCCTCCAAATGCACCCAGTATACTCATCGTATACTCGATCTGCTCGAAGCCCTCGAGGACACGGACGAAATCGTCTGGCCTGCACACTCCAGCATGGATGCGAGAGATCAAGCGCTCCAGATCAGGCATCCTAGTCATCTGTCCCGTGAACTGCTCCCGGAGCGTACTATCCGCATTGAGCATATCCACAGCGTCGAGGCGCTCGTTGATCTTCTTCGCATCCGCCAAGGGGTGGCAGACCCACTGGCGGAACATGCGTTTCCCAAACGGCGTGATGCAGCGGTTGAGCATCTTGAAGAGCGTCCCCGCCTGCCCGCTATCGTAGGTATTGGCAAAGATCTCGAGGTTGATGAGGGTTTGTCCGTCAAGGACCAGGGTGGTCGATTTCTGTATCGGGCTGTACCAGGCAAAGTTGCGCTGGGAGAGGAGGTCCCGGTCCAGTTTCAAGGATCGGAGGTACTGCACCAGCGCACCGAAGGCGGACATGATGATCTCCTTATCCTTCGCCTCCATGAGCGTAGCCGGCCACTCCTCATCTGCGCCTGGCTCCTTGGTGAGGAAGTATCCACTGCAGTCGAGCTCCCTCTTCGTGACATCCGCGCCCCAAAACTCCTTCCCAGTCTTCAAATAATTCCAAATGGTGGTCGGGCTGGTATTACTCTTCAGAATCCGCAGTGCTTTGACGGAAATACATGACTTCTCCAGCAACAGCTCCTGCGGCCGCGTCTGCGCCACAAAGGTCTCGAATTTGGTCAGGTCCACGTCGTCGACGAACTCGGACAGGAAGAACTGCCCCGTTGCCGTGTCGACAAATGCGATGCCAAAAGTCGGCAGATCATCCGCAGTCATCGTCGTCTCCTTGATCGCCACACAGTACGTCGCCATGTCGCCCTCGAGCATGCTCCCCTCCACCAGCGTCCCTTTGGTCAGCACGCACGCCAGCTCACGATGAATGATCTTATCGACCTTCTTCGCCTTCGCGCCACCGACGCTGTCCTCGCGCTCGCGCATCTCCTTCCCGAGCGCCGACTCCATCTGGTCGACTCGTGCAATCTTGTAGCCCTTCGCCACGAACTGGTTGGCCCAGTGGTCGAGCGAGGACTCGGGCACGCCGACCATGCGCATGTTGACGCGGTCGGTGAGCTTGAGGTCGAACAGCTGGTGGCCAATGGTGGCGTCATTCTCGTAGAGCTCGTAGAACTTGCCTTTCTTGAAGAAGACGATGGTGTTCCAGAACTTCTGCTTGATCTGCCAGTACTGCTTCTCGAAGGCGCTGAAGCCCGTCCAGGCGTTTGGCGGGATGTACACCGTGCGGGGGTCGTAGTCGGGGTGGTCGGGTGGGTTGCGGTCCATGTCGAGGAGATTCGCTAGCCAAGTGTAACGGTGTTCGGGCTCTGACTTGCTGGGCTTCTGTTTCTTGGCTAGCTCAGATGATGTTGGCTTTGGCTTGCGAATAATATTCGACGAGCGTGGCTGCAGTGGGTTGGTATCATCGGGGTCATACTTCCATCTCTGAGCGCTCGATCCCTGGCTATCCCCCATCTCCACATCATCATCAACAACAGGAGGAGGAAGCGGAGACGGAGCATATGATCGTTTCCTCGAAGGCGTCTTCGATGGCGATGGCCTCTTCCGCTTCTTCGATTTCGAGGGTGCAGCATCAGAGTCCTCCGAAGCTATAAAGTCGTCCATATCTGGTAATCAACGTCAGCATCTATCTCCGATCTGAAGGCCCGTCGCAAGGACTCACCATCATCATCGCTCTCCTCATCAACCTCGCCAACAAACACACCCTCATCATCATCATCACTCTCAATAACCTTCTTACTCGACTTACTCCTCCTCGCCGCCACAGGCGCCTCATCATCCTCATCATCCTCATCCGGCTCCTCATAGCTCACCGGCTTCTTTGCCCTCCTCGACGGACTACTCTGCACAACCGCATTCCTATCCACCCCACCCTGCGAGCTCGGCGGATCAATAACATCACTACTAGCCACCGGCGTCCTATCCATCTTCGTCACCCCCCTCCCCACCTTCCCCACCACCTTCCCCGCCGGTGTCCTCGATGAAGCAGGGCCATCGGTCTGTGCACCCTCCAGCGTCGCGGGGGAACTAGCGTGTTTCTTCAGCAGCGGCAGTCCTGCGGTCGGGGCCTTGGAGAAGAAGCCTAAGATCGATCTCTGGTTCTTGCTTGTCGAGGGCGCCGCGGAACTGGCCTGTTTCCTGGCCGGGGCGGGGCGCGAGGGGGTGGTGGTTGATTTCTCGGATTTCGCCATGGTGGGTGGTATTCTGCTTTGGCTGTATTGAACAGATTAAACAAAGAAAGAAGATCCCATCAACCTCCCGATCTAGAATTGGTAGGGGGAGAAACTGTAAGGTTGAGGATATTACAAAGGGGGTCCAAAGGGTTGGAGGTCGAGGTTGAAGTTGATATATCAGGGCTGGCCCGTGGACGATTGGACGAACGCGCACTGGACGCGCCAGCAAGGGGGGGAATTCGCGTTGTGGTCTGTGCGCAGGCGCTTTTTCAATTTAACGTGCAGTCCGGGCAGTCCGGGCTTGAAGTGCCGGTAGCGATGTACCGAAGTACCAATATAGCCAAAATTGAACCCTTTGGAAATCCATATCCACGATAAATGTCATGTAAATCCTCAACTTCATCTTTGAGCTTCGGTATGAGTACTCTATTGCCTAAAATATCCTAATCCCCTTGATTTCAGGCTTCCAGGCTTCCTTGCAAACCATACCACCCCACCCATCCTTTGCCACAAAAAGCAGCAACCATAATACACTCATAAATGATGCCGTATCCCCCCGCCAATACCTCATCCACTGTCCCATGACAACACCACACCACCCAGCCAGGCCAGCCCAAACACACTCTGGCATCCGCAAAACAATAACTCCCGATTACCGCTACAGACAGATGCCAAAAAATACCCACAAGACCAGAGATAATGCCCCCCCTTTCCTTCCCAGAACCTTCATTTTCGCAGACAGTAACCACCCCACCCAACCTTCTAGGAGTTGAGTGGGAAAGAAACCCCTTCCCACAGAGAAGAACGAACAACCACCAATCACCTCTTCAACTCCCCAATCAGCGTGGGCGCAATCTTCCTCTTCTTCGGCGCAGGTCCACCATCCCTCTCTCCCTCGTTCTCACCCTCCCCATCCCTTGCCCCAGCAGCATCATCCTTAGCACTCTCATCCTCACTCACCCCCCCCGCATCCCTCTTCACCCCTCCCGCCACCGCACCACTAACACTACACGCGGCACTCCTCGGCGTCTGCGGCGGCGTCGTCATATTCACCGCCGGCACGACAAACGAGCCCGCCGTGATGCCCGGCACGCTCCCCGACACGAGAGGGGGATTGCTAACAACCGTTCCGGTAGGGTAACTCGCGTTCGGCGCGCCGAAGGCGGAGGGCGCGAAGGGGGACTGCGTGGAGATGATGGAGCTTGTCGAGTTTGTGCGCGTGGGCGAGGCGAGACGGCCTGAGACGGCGGCGGAGGCGGGTTGGGTGGTGGTTGATTCGGAAGGTGGGGGGTTGGAGGGGGTGCGGTGGCGGGATAGGCCAGGGAATGGGGAGGGGGGGCAGACGGCCGAGGTGGGTGTTGGGATGGGTGTGTTTTGGGAGGAGAGGGAGGTGGGTTGTTGGGCGGAGACGCCGGGTTTTGTGGTGGATGAGTCGGGGGTGTATGGTTCGCCGAGCTCGGAGGGGGAGAAGGTGAGGGTGGAGCAGAAGCCGTCGGAGGAGGTCATGAGTAGGGTTAGGCCGTCGTTGGACCTGTAATTACGGTTAGAGTAGAGTTCAAGGTCTAGGGTAGGAAGGCACATACCAGGTCAAATCTGTAAAGGTTGCACAGTGCAGGTTGCTCACAATACACAGGGGCGTCTGCTGTTGCGTATCGTACAATAGAACCGAGTCTTGCGTGGCAACAGCATAAACCATGCGATACGGCAGCGAAAACGCCATCGGCGGGCCGGGAGAAACCGCCCCAGTTGCCACTTCCAGCTCCTTCGGTGTCGACGTCGGGCCTGAATCGCTAGGGTGTAGGAACGGCGATTTCTGAACCTTAGGCGGCGTATCGGGTGTAGGAGAAGAGATGACCGGCTCGGGCAAGGCAGGTATGGATTCTTCAGATAAGGATGTGTCGATTGTGATGTTTTTGGTCGTGACGGGTCCCTCTCTTATAGTGTAAAATATAGGCGAACACTTGACAGCTACCGACGGCTTCTTGTGTCCCGGAAGATGTGCAATCGGGGGCTTATTGATCCCGCCTCTCGTGTAGATATAGACGGTGTTGATTATCTCGTACGCCGCCCTATGGCCCTCGTTCTCTCCAGGATGAGGGACAGAGTATTGACCAGCCGGAGTAAGCAGGAGACTTCCATCTTGAGTGAACGTCAACCGCCGGAAGAACGAGGTAAGTGTCTCATTGGCGTATATATTCGCATTCTTGACTCCCAACCCGTGTCCTGGCTTCGGGGACGCTTCCATGGGCATAACAGCCGGGAGAGGCATTGACGGAGCCGGCGACGCCGATCTCCGCACCGAGGTGGACGAGCCGAATGAAGATCTCCTACTGTGGCTGATAGTGCTCGGTGGGTTCATGGGTAGTCCGTGGGCAGTTGGTGTGCTGGGCTCTGACGGCTTTGGCGATTCGGCACCGAGATATGAGGTTTCGTTGGAGATCTGAGAGCGGATGCCGATATCTGGGGGAGCAGGCGAGCCTCTTCGCCCAGGGAGGTCGATCTTTGCATGGCTAGCAATCCTGTGGGGTCCCTGTTCCAAGGTGAAATGCCCATCCTTTGTCCGCAGGCTGTATATATGCACCGATCTATCCGAGGACTGCGTCGCGACGTATTCGTTCAGAGGGTCCCACGCGACGCCTTGGACGTAGTGGCTGTGCTCGGCGATCTGTCGAACTAATTGGCCTGGTACTTGTCAGCTGTGCACCGTCGACAATGTCACTGGGATATCTACCAGTTTGGGCATTGTATATTCTCGCAATATTATCCATGCTCCCGATAATGAAGTAGACGCCATCCGGGGACCATGCGAGATCGTATATTTCCGAGCCAGACGACCGGCACATATGCTTCACGCGCCATGTCTCCTTGTCCTCCAACGCGTCGTCGCCGAACGCGGCTTGGGGATGATGTAATTCGGCGGGGATCCAGAGCAGGACATTTCCATCGTCGCCGGCGGAAGCTAGAAGGTCTCCTGCATCTTGTTAGAGTTCTGTTGGGGTGGTAGGAAGCTCGTATTCGTACCTTTGGGGGCAAAACGGACGACATTGACTGCTTGGGAGTGCTTGCTAAGCGTCGACAGGTACTCCACGCTCCGCTCCTCGCCATCCGAATCAACCCTCCAGAGCTAGCGGACAGTCAGCACGACACATCCCCGGGGAGGACGGGGTTCTACATACCCTCACATTGTTATCTCCACCCGCCGTCGCGAGCCTCTTGCCATTGGGCTCGAAGTGGGCAGAGTAGATCGGGGCGCTGGAGTCGTGCCAGTTGACGATGAGAGGTGCGCTCTTCATGGTGTGGACAGGGCCTCAGCGGCGGTGCATTTGGTATCCCGGGCGGACCAGCTGCAGCGACGGTGTGCAGTGAGTGCTGCTCTCCTGCTCTCGGGGTTGGTATGTCCCGGGCTTGAGCGCGAGGTGGTGAAGAAGTCTGGTCGGCGAGGCCGACGTCGTCTCTATGGCTGGCTGGTCTTCCGTGAGGAATCTGAGGTTCCGGATGCCTTCCGTGAGAAGCGATAGCTGGTACGCGGTACGATTGCCGACGGGGAATAGGGGGCAAGTCTTCGGTTTGTGTAGGATTGGAAGCAGCAGCTGTTGTATGCCGAAGTGCTTCTGCTGTGGATGATCGCGGTGATCGTTGGACGCGGTTCATAGGCGGGACAATCGGAACATGCGGCCGCTCCATGCCGACTCGAGCTGGGAGCTGGGAGCTGTGTAGGTCGGAGCTGTGAAGCTGTTTCCCCGCACCCAATCAGAAGCGATGCATAGCGCTCGTTTACGCCGAAACAATTAGAGGGTTTCAGCCCGCAGAACATAACATGATCACATACCGTTGGCAGTAAGATCTGCACCACCCCGTAGCCCCTGCTCGTCACAATTGCGACCGTAAGTACCTCTCCATAGTAATTTGTATGTAAAGATACATAATTAAGCCATTCTATGAAATTATCACTTGTTCGCTCCCACTCGTACTCGTGCGGCCCAAAAGTTTCCACAGGGTCTGTGCACAACAGCCAATTAGATTGTAGGAATCTACCAAGCACCATGTACTTGTACCCGAGTACACGCGTAGAAACTTGTAAGGATCTTCAAAATGAACAGGGCAGTACGAGGTCACGTTCTCAATCACATACGTGTAGTAGATCCTGTAGATTACAAAGACTGAACGCTGACCTTCCTCCGAAGGTCCGCGTTCCTACTATATACAATTATCCCCCCCTTTGAGGCTCAAGCCCCTTTGAGCCCGAGGATGTCAATTGTGGAAAGTGAGGTTATTGATGGGGGTGGTGCTGCTTTGCCGGCCTAACGATTAAGGTATTCCTAGTAGGCGGCAACACTTCGCCTACGTGTTGTTGTGTTGTTTGTTGTAGGCGCTTCTTCTTCTTCCTCTGAACTTCGCCTACCTACACAACAACACAACCTCTTCCTGTCGTCTTCTGTTGCGCTCACCTTCTGCTTCCCTTCCGTTGTAAGTACTATTCTCAATGCCCTAGATCCTCATACTGATTGATCTGTAGGCTTCCACACTTCCACCTACACCCTCCCCACAATGGCTCCCAAGAAGGATTCCTTCAAGGGCAAGGGTAAGGCCAAGAAGGTCGCCAACCCTCCGCCTGCCCCTCGCGCCAGCCCTGTAGAGGCTCGCCTGTAATGGTGGGTGCACCAGATATGAGAATCTAGCCACCCAAGGAAGGGATGAATTTACTAAGACAACACACTGTCTTAGGAAACAGAGCCAAAGGGTTGTAGCTTAGACTATTCCACAACGCAGCAATCAGGTGTATGATGTGGTGAAGTGGTTTAGACAAGTTGCAACAAATGTTGAGTCTGAGAACTCAGGGGTAAGTCAGAGGTTAGCACCTCACTGACTTTTCAAAAACAGAGAATAACAAGATCAATGCTTGGAAGCTTGGAAAAGACGTAGAAGTATGTGCTAGTCGATTTACTGTATTGTCTGCTTGCCCTTTCTTAAGGAAAGGGCAATCCTATTTATGCCAAAGGAGTGTAGTTCTCTCATTTTCCATGACTTTCCATGACTAACCAGGCTTGGTAAATGTATTAGAAATCAAGTGCGACCCACAACTAGCTTGCTAATCATGTAGTGAACGTAAGAGAATCCCATAGAACCATCTCTTGGGTTCCTAGCCTATAGGAAGTGAAAAGGAGGTCCAAGGTCAGAGTACCTATAGATAAATTATGTCATAACTTAACCAATCTTGTGGGTAACTAAGGAGCGATGACGTGTAATGAATCATAGAGGGTTGTAGAAGCTTCTAGAGCTATCGTTCATGTTTCTAGGCCTCTAGTTGGTAGAGATATGCCATGTGGTAGTATTGGCCCACCCCCTTAAGGAGGAGATTTTCTTAATAACTTGTTCAATGAGTGTCCAAATGATATGCCGTGATGTATGTAGCATAAACAGATGTAGTAGAAGAGTTTGCAGCAATCGTTGAGTAGTATTGCTTCTGTTGTTGGTGTGATAAGCCAAGATATGTATGGTGACTTGTAGGTTTGAGGAGGAGATTTCTAAGTTTGCTCTTGAGTTTGATAGCAAACTGAGTGCAACGAATGTCAGTATGACATGATCCCCCTTTTAAGGACGTTTGTTGGCTGTCTGCTTGCCCTTTAGCCAGTTGGCTTTCTTAGAAAGAAATTCTAGAATGAGCTTAGATGCATTTTTTAGATTTCTCTTAGGCTCCCAAGTGTTGTCACTTGTAGGATAGCCTTTCCACTTAACGAGGAAGTAGTCCTGACCTCTAAGTGTCTTTTTGTCAAGGATAGACTCTACTTCATATTCTGGTTGATCCAAGATCAGAACAGGAGGTGGAGGAGACTGAAGTGGTCTTAAGGAACTTTCTTGTGCCTTAGACAAGAGAGATGCATGGAAGACATTATGGATAGTCCAAGTAGGTGGTAATGCAAGCTCGAAAGCATTCTTGCCAATAGTCCTTGTGATCTTAAAAGGTCCAAGTCTTTTAGTATCAAGTTTGTCTGAAGGTCTAGTAGTTGTGATATGTCTTCTAGACAAAAAGACTTGATCACCAACTTTGAATTGTGGTGCAACCACCCCCCTGTTAAAGGCCTGAGCCTGCTCGTCTTGTGCACGCTGTATTTGAACCTTGAGATAGTCCTGGAGGCCCTTAAGGTAGATGATTCTTTCAGTAGCAGAAGGGTTTTTGAAATTTTCAGGACAATTCAGTTCTGCCACTTCAAACCTAGGGTGATAACCATAGTTTGCATAGAAAGGTGTCTCTTTTGTGGTGTTAGAGACTGTGTTGTTGTAAGCAAATTCTGCAAGATGGAGAAGATCTGCCCAGTTGTCTTGAGCATAGTTTGTATAAATTCTTAGATATTGTTCAAGTACAGAGTTGACTCTCTCTGTCTGGCCATCTGTTTGAGGGTGATAAGCTGTAGAGAAGCGTTGTTCCATGTTTAAGAGTTTAGAGAACTCCTTAAAAAAGTTTGAAGTGAAAACTGCTCCCCTATCTGAGATCCAGTGTCCAGGAATTCCATGATATTTAAAGACCACCTTGAGGAATAGCCACGCAAGTTCAGAAGCTGTGATAGTCTCATTGCAAGGCTCAAAGTGTGCCATTTTTGTGAGCCTTTCTACCACCACAAGGATAGAGTCATAAGGGGTAGCACCCCCTTTTGGGATAGAAGGAGGCAACTTGACTATAAAGTCAATGGATATGGAGTCCCATGGGCGTTCTGGTATAGGTAGAGGCTGCAAGAGGCCATAGGGCTTTTGCCGTGTAGGCTTGTTCAAGTTGCAAGTAGTGCAAGAAGATATATAGTCTTGAAGAGTAGTCCTTAGACTAGGCCAGTAGAACTTTCTTGTTAGAAGTTCATAAGTTTTTGCAAAGCCAAAGTGCCCTGCAGCTGGAGCATCATGGAACTGCTGTAGGAGGTGTAGCTGTAATTGTTTATCCCTTGGGACATAGATATAGTTCTTGAATAAGAGAAGTCCATGCTGATTTTTTGAGAAATTCTGTAGTCCAACTTTCTCAAGAGAGGAACCTTTCTTCTGGAGGTATTCCAAAGTTCTTTTCGCAAAGGGATCATGGTTGTAAGCATCTTTGAATGCTTTAAGAAGTGTTGCTGAGGGTGTATAGTCTTTAAAGGTCTCTGGTTCCTGAGAAGAGGTAATGGGGGCAACTTGGTCTTGAGGGGATAAGTTTACCCCTAAGTCCTCTGTAGTACTAAGGTTGCTTAAAGATGCTGCTATAAGCTTTGCTGAGTCTAGCAGAGCCTTTGTATTGCTAGTTTTAGCAGAATCTTGGTAGTCATGTCTTCTTGAGAGGAGATCTGCTCTTTGATTCTTGGCCCCTGAGACATGTTTTATAACAAAGTCAAAACCTCCTAGTTGTTCAGACCACCTTGCTTGTCGTCGATTGAGCTGTTTAGTGGTTGTAAAGGTCAAGAGATTTGAATGGTCACTGTAAATAGTGATAGGATAGTTTGCCCCTTCAAGGTAGCATCTCCAATGCTTTAGAGAACATACTATGGCAAGCAGTTCCTTGTCTGTAATGGGATAGTTTTGTTCAGCTGCTGATAGCTTTTTTGAGTAAAATGCCACAGGCTGTAGCTCTTCTTGTTTGTCTTTTGGAGCTTGGTATAAGATTCCAGAAATGGCAAAATCTGAGGCATCTGTCTCAAGAGTGGCAGGTTTCAAGGGGTTAAAGTGTAGTAACATTTTCCCTTCTTTAAATTCTCCTTTAAGAGCATCGAAAGCATCTTGCTGTGTCTTATCCCAGTGATACAAAGTGTCCTTGTGAAGTAATTGAGTAAGGGGTAAAGCCAAGGATGTATATCTTGGTATAAACCTCCTGTAATAGTTGGCAAACCCAAGGAAAGACTGAACCTCTTTAATGCTGGAAGGAATAGGCCACGTTTGTACTGCTTTTGTCTTTTCAGGGTCCATCTGAATGCCTTCTGTTGAAATTCTATGTCCTAAGAAATCAACTTGAGACATATGGAAAAGACATTTCTCAAGTTTGCAAAAGAGTTGTGCTTGAGATAGCTTCTCTAAGACTTGTCTAACATGTAGAACATGCTCTTGAGTGTCTAAAGAGTATATAAGAATGTCGTCTAAGTAGACAACAACAAAGATATCCAAGTAAGGTCTTAGAATATCATTCATGAGAGCTTGGAAAGAAGCAGGTGCATTGGCAAGCCCAAAAGGCATTACCTGGTATTCAAAATGACCATAGCGTGTTCTGAATGCTGTCTTCCACTCATCACCTTCCTTGATGCGTATCAGGTTATAAGCTCCCCTGAGATCTAACTTGGTAAAGATCCTTGCTGAAGAGAGCCTATCTATGAGCTCAGGGATAAGGGGTAAAGCATATCTGTTTTTAACAGTGACTGCATTAAGGCCCCTATAATCAACACAGAGACGCAAGGAGCCATCTTTCTTCTTGACAAAGAGAATAGGAGCTCCTGCTGGTGAGGAAGAAGGTCTGATAAAGCCAGAACTAAGGTTCTCATCTAGGTATTCTCTGAGAGTTTTCAGCTCTAATTCAGATAGAGAGTAGATAGGGCCGTAGGGAGGCATTGAGCCTTCTGCGAGTGGTATCTCATGGTCATAAGGCTGGTGCTTTGGCAGAATTGATGCCTTTGCCTTGTCAAAAAGATGTTGGTAGTCTTGGTATGCTAAAGGCAAAATGACCTCCTGAGATGATTTCTCCAAATCTGAAGTAGCTGCTATCTCCAGGACAGGTTGGAAAGGTTTAACCCATATCAGAGATGATATATCGTCCATAGTTTGGTCAAAATCCTTGATCTGGGACAAGTTTGAGTCTTGGACCTGAATAGGGGTAACTGAGGCTTGAAGGGTTTTTTCAGTATTGAGCTCAGGATTTGAGCTAAACCCAAGCGATAAATGCTTCCAATTGATAGTTGGATCATGCCTTTGAAGCCATGGAAGACCTAGGATAACTGGGTACTTCATTGGTATAACATCTAAAGAGATGGTGTCTGAAAATGTTGATTTTCCTAGGGGAATCTCAAGTTTGAGTACTGGGGTGTTGCAGGTAATGGAACCTGAACTGATAGGAGTTCCATCAATGACTCGGAGCAACTCTGGAGTGCGTTTGGGAATTGTAGGTAACTGGTGTGTCAAGATGAGGTCTTGAGATATAAAGTTGCCTGTTGCCCCTGAGTCTATCATAGCCCTTGTAGACAACACCTGTTGTTTGAAATGGAGTTGAATAGGGATTAACAGGTGTGTGAGACTCTGAGAAAGCACCATCGACACATCTTTGTTGTCTAGGGGAGAAGTTATAGTCTCAGTTGAAGTTGTGCCTGCTAGGGATTTTTCAAGTTTTTCAGGAATAGCAGTTGTGACTGTGTCTGAGGCTGCTATATGTTTTGAATCAGCACTCCCCCGTGCTGAATAGCACTCCTGAATTCTGTGTCCCCCTTTGCCACAGTATAAACAAAGGTTGTTGTCCATTCTGTGTTTTCTTTCTTGAGGGGTAAGTTTACCCCTTTTCAGTTTTTGAGGGTATCCTGTAGGCTGAGGTGCTGGATTTGCTGTAGATCTCTTTATAGAGGCGTCTAAGTCCATAGGTTCAGGTGCTGAGTCCTTAGCAGTTGGTGTAGAGGTGTAATTGTTGAAATTTCTTGTTGGATGCCAGTCTTGGTTCTTCTCCTTTCTTCTTTCAAAAAGCCTATCATCAAGTCTGACAGCTTTCTCTATAAGCGTTTGAAGTGTTGTAGGGCGTTCTTCTTTGCTGAGTTCATCCTTAATAGAGCTCTTGAGCCCTTGGTAGTAAGTGAAGACTAAGGCTTCTTCATTCCAAGTCAAGTGAGAAGTGATTCTCCTAAATTCTGTTGTATACTGAGCAGCAGAGGTCTTTTGACATAGCTTCTGTAGCTCTCTTTCTGCTGTAGCAGTTTCGTTGATGTCTCCAAAGGTCCTGGTAAGTTCCTCTTGAAACTGGTCATAAGAGGTAATCAAAGGTGTAGTGGTATTTTGGTTGTTGCCACTAAGTCTTCTAAGATATGGCTCAAAGAAGTTGAATGCAGATCCACGGAGGTAGCTGGCAGCGAAATAGATCTTCTGAATGTCTGAGGTGAACTGATGAGGCCTGAGGGTGAAGTAGATGTCCAGTTGCATAAGAAATCCCTTCAACTTCCTCCTGTCTCCATGGTATAAATCTGGTGTTTGCACTTTAGGAAGTGCACCTGGGGTACTCGAAATAGCCAGAGGAGCTGTGGGAAGCTCTGTATGATGTGTCTGAGTTGAAGATTGTGTTGCTGAAGTGTTGGCTTGAAAGGTGTTTTCCAAATTCTCAAGTTTGTTTGCTATAGTTTGTATAAAGGCAAACAGTTGTTGCATCTGCTGTTCAGCAGTAGTTGTAGGAGCTTGGTCATCCTCCATTGTAGTATCGAAGTGCTGCTATAGAAATAGTTGAAGCTTGAAGCAGGCAAGGTGTAATGGTGGGTGCACCAGATATGAGAATCTAGCCACCCAAGGAAGGGATGAATTTACTAAGACAACACACTGTCTTAGGAAACAGAGCCAAAGGGTTGTAGCTTAGACTATTCCACAACGCAGCAATCAGGTGTATGATGTGGTGAAGTGGTTTAGACAAGTTGCAACAAATGTTGAGTCTGAGAACTCAGGGGTAAGTCAGAGGTTAGCACCTCACTGACTTTTCAAAAACAGAGAATAACAAGATCAATGCTTGGAAGCTTGGAAAAGACGTAGAAGTATGTGCTAGTCGATTTACTGTATTGTCTGCTTGCCCTTTCTTAAGGAAAGGGCAATCCTATTTATGCCAAAGGAGTGTAGTTCTCTCATTTTCCATGACTTTCCATGACTAACCAGGCTTGGTAAATGTATTAGAAATCAAGTGCGACCCACAACTAGCTTGCTAATCATGTAGTGAACGTAAGAGAATCCCATAGAACCATCTCTTGGGTTCCTAGCCTATAGGAAGTGAAAAGGAGGTCCAAGGTCAGAGTACCTATAGATAAATTATGTCATAACTTAACCAATCTTGTGGGTAACTAAGGAGCGATGACGTGTAATGAATCATAGAGGGTTGTAGAAGCTTCTAGAGCTATCGTTCATGTTTCTAGGCCTCTAGTTGGTAGAGATATGCCATGTGGTAGTATTGGCCCACCCCCTTAAGGAGGAGATTTTCTTAATAACTTGTTCAATGAGTGTCCAAATGATATGCCGTGATGTATGTAGCATAAACAGATGTAGTAGAAGAGTTTGCAGCAATCGTTGAGTAGTATTGCTTCTGTTGTTGGTGTGATAAGCCAAGATATGTATGGTGACTTGTAGGTTTGAGGAGGAGATTTCTAAGTTTGCTCTTGAGTTTGATAGCAAACTGAGTGCAACGAATGTCAGTATGACATCGCCTTACTGAAGCAGAACGCCTTGCTGCCATTGATGCCATGGTGGAGAAGAAGCAAGCGACGGCAGCGAAGGCTGCTGCCACTAAGGTGTCATACTGACATTCGTTGCACTCAGTTTGCTATCAAACTCAAGAGCAAACTTAGAAATATCCTCCTCAAACCTACAAGTCACTATACATATTTTGGCTTGTCACACCAACAACAAGAGCAATACTACTCAACAATTGCTACAACCCTCTATAATTCATTACACATCATTGCTCCTTAGTTACTGGGCTGATATTACCACATAGCATATCTCTACAACCCTCTATGATTCATTACACATCATCACACCTTAGTTACTGGGCTAATACTACCACATGACAAATTTCTACCAAACATGAATGATAGCTCCAAAAGCTTCTACAACCATCTATACCAAGCCTGGTTAGTCATGGAAAGTCTTGAAAATGAGAGAACTACACTCCTTAGCATAAATAGGATTGCCCTTTCCTTAAGAAAGGGCAAGCAGACAATACAGTAAATCGACTATCACATACTGAACAAAGCCAGCGAAAGTGAGAGAAGCATGAGAGAAGCTTCTCAAAAACAACACTCCCCCTATTCTCGAGCGTCGCTGTCGCTGGAAGTAAGTCCCATCTCTTTCTTCAATGCCATCAGTCTGTCCTTAGCAAGATTCTTTGTGAAGGGGTCCGTGAGGTTGTTTTCTGTCTCAATAGATTTGATTTCAACATTCCCGTTGACTTGCTCGTCTCGTACGAAGTGATATCGAATATCTATATGTGTAATGGTGGGTGCACCAGATGTGAGAATCTAGCCACCCAAGGAAGGGATGAATTTACTAAGATAATCTTGTCTCTCGCCCGTATACCTCAGCCGAGAATAGGATCGTTTCAGTTCCACGACGATTGTACTGTGACACTGACAAACCGGCCGCTTACATGCACCATAGTAGCACTAGAGAATGAAGGCACACAGAGGATAACACAAGAGCATGTTGGACGACACCGCTATACTCCCCCGATGAATGGTCGCCACCACTGTTGCCATCTTTAGCGTCGGCCATGATGTTGAGCTCCTGCGACGGTGTCCTCGCTCGTAAGAGGGAACACGTAGCGCGTATGGCGAGGAGTCCGGTTTGCTTCATCAGTACATAGAATTTAAACCAAATCGAAGAGACCACCTACAATATGCGAAGTTTAGCCTATGTCCTTTTCTCTCAAGAAGCTGGGTGAGCCTCTGATACCGTGGCTATCGCGGCTGTTATATATAGAGACCCGTGACAACGCATACAAAACCTTGGCAAACAATCGCCTCTATCTGCAAGGGCTGATACAACGCGAAGTCAACCTCATTTGTGCTAATTGTGAGCCTGTCAAGGAAATATCCAATAATAATGCATTGCTTGTACATTAGAATTGCGGTCGTAAGTTATCCTTGTGTGTACTTACTTTAATTCTTTGACCAAGGTACCTGTACGACGAGTTAGCAGGTGATGATTGTACATTATTTCACATGACTCTACGTTAACACAGACGTTGTGTACCGCTGGCTGCCTAAAGCCCGAAAAATGGTAGAGAAGGATAGAGGCCAAGATGCACCGCGGCGAGTGTTTGGCCGTCAGAAACAGTGGTTGATCTTTCTGGGCTATTATTAAATACATAGACGAGGATCATAATTCACTTATCACATTGGATCTGCTCTATAGACGCTCATGGCACGGTTTCCACCACATCGTCGAAGCTATGATAGGTTTAAGAAGTGACCCTCACAACCATAGTCGCAGGTATCCGTAAAATCCCAGAAGAGCTGTCTTGCGACTTGGCGGAACGTCGCCTATTTTGCCTTCGGCTGCATTGTGCTCCAGCGTGCGTACTGCGCCCGGAGTCCTGCCCGGAGTCCTGCCCGGAAACTTCCTGAAGATCCACTCCCAAGTCTTGCCCTCCTTCTTGTACGCTAATAACCGGTGCTTTTCAAGCGATGACCATTCACTATATTTCCTATTGTCCAAACGTCCCACATTATCCTCGCTCGAATAGGCGTCACCGTCGCCACTGGTATAAGGATCGCGGTCGTCAAAGTCATCAACATCGGAGCTTCTTGAAGCTGACCATTGGCTATACTTCCTCGTGTCCGAACGTCCCAGTTCATCCTCGCTAGAACTGTGCCAGAACCAGAGTCAACGATGCAGGCGGACGTCTCTCGCCGCTGATATGGAAAAGCGCTAGCCCCACTGCCTTTGTCAAGCCGGGTACGCCTTGCACCCAGCGGGATAGGGCATGCGTTTATGATGGACTTCCCACCTTGAGATTGGCGGTATGGCGAAAGTCGGCTAAAACCTGTCACAGGAACGAGTGTTGCTTTAGCGGCTTGATTGTGAGGTCCTCGATATTCCCAGAATGGCCGAAGCCCTCGATAAGTTTAGAGAGTTGGGCAAAAGAGAATTGCGGCTCATCACAATCGTCCTGAAAGGATGCAGAAAAAGAGTAGTAATTCGAAGAGCGGAGACGGAATGTGATCTCAGTGAGCAGTGGTACCGTGTGCTTGAATGATTCGCCGAGGATACCACAGCCCAGGGAAGAACTAGGTGGCGAAGGTAATCGGCTGTTACTGCCACAGGCTTGGGCAGCTCTCGAACCATGATTATGTGGCTTCCAACGCAGCCTTTGCGGGGAGCAATTTCTTCCCTCCTGGGTAAAGCCCGGCTGAAGATGCTGCTGACGTTTCCGTTGCGTTGGGCCAACGTAAGATAAAGGCTGCCTTTTCCGCTTGGTAGAGTATTGCCTCCGGTCGCTGTCGTCTGACTCCGCTTCACCGGTACTAGGCTCGTCGTCGCTGCAATTGTCGCTATTGCTCGTCGCTTGTTCTTGGCTTGGCTCCAGAGACGGACTGGGAGGGGGAAGTTCGTCACCCAATTCAGTTGTTGGCGCTACTCTTGTAGTATCTTCGTCTGACTGTTGCAATCTATCGTCATAGCTATTAATGTTCTCTTGTTCGTCTTGCTGCTGCTGCATCTCCTCAGAGGTAGTATTATCGAATTCAGGCGTCGTGCCTACGACAGGCACAATCTTCCTGGACGAGTTGGCCATGTTGTGAGGATCTTGGCCGGCGTGGAGACTGGCTGTGATGACACGCAGAAAGAGACTTTGTCATCTTGGATTTGGCACAAGCCGTAAAAGGGTCTTCTGTGTTGATCCGGCCGTGCAATGGCTCGCTTGGGGGGCGCATGAAATCCAATATCGGCGATACTTGGTCGGGATCGGAATTACGCGCACGGATCGGATTGAGCACAGTCTCAGTGCAACTTAAAATCTCTTGATCCCCGTTCACATTTTCCCAGTCAATTTCGTCCTCAAGAGGCACGAAGTTCGTCATCTCGCAGCTCAATTGGATTGTCTACACAGCGGCAAGAATCACGTCAGAGTTATGTGTGACGAGAGATATTAGGGCTGCTCACCTCGGTCACCACTGGAACTGACGTTCAATGCCTGCGTACTTTGGTCGATGGACCTCGCGTCCTCCAGATAGCCTTCCACAGCTCGTCTGGTGTGTTCTTCACCTGCTTCCCCCACACCAAAACCCGACTTCCGTAGTTTGGTGTGCAAAAGCTCCTCGATTGTAGGGAGGTACTGGTCGTCATCATCGACATTGTCATCGAAATATGCCATGCTACTCTCAACTAATATTCTCAAAGTTAGTCATGCTTGCTATAGCTGGCATTCAAGTCTCTCACATACCTTGATCGCCGCGCATGCCGCTCTCATTCTCAGTAGATGGTGCGCCTACCGCTGGCAATGGATCGTCAACTGCGACTTCCATCTGCTTGGCGGGGGAGTGGTCGGTGAGGATGCTGGATTTCGGTGAGATAGGCTTTGGGCGAGCCCCCACGCCCCGACGACGCGTTGGCACATATTCATAAGGGACAAAAGTGGCCAAGTCGAAATCGACTTGAAATATTTCACCAACTGCAGGCAGTGGATCGAGAGACTCATATGTAGGCTTCTGCTCGCATCGCGCTGCCCTCCTGCCATCTTCCTGTCCAAAATACGCCAGAGCAAAAAAATCTCTGCGTCTCGCGCAGAAGGGATAATCCACCAATTGCAACATCGCAGTTCTGAGATTGCCTGGCTCCACGGCCTCGCCGACGAGAACTTAGGTGGCCGCATGAACTCCGATCCCACGCAAATGACATATCGAGTATATCGCAGTGATGGCGCAGCCCAGACTGAGCCAACGCGAGGTATTTTCGCGACTGGCTGCGTCCGGCGGCATGTGTGGCCCAAAGCGTCACCGCACTTCAAATCTCCAGCGCTCTCTCTCCCTCCAGGAGCAGAACCAGCGGTCCTAAGACTGCTATGGCCTCAGCTCTTGATAAGCCAGTGTGACGCAGATCCAAGGCGCTAGCCGCGGCCACGGCGCCGAAGTTATGAGGTAGATCGTTTCGTACTCGAGTTAAATGGGGTGTTCGACTGCAGCGTGACCGTCTAGAGGAGCCTAGCCAACGTGAGGCATTTTCACAACTGGCCATGCGCTGAGTGATGTGTGCGACTCCGCCGTCCGGCGCCGCGAAGTGGTGTGTGTTGGGTGTGTTGGGTGTCGGGGAATATACAGAGAAGAGAAGGAAAAGTAGGAGGGTGGAATCTTTATATGCCGTGAAAGCGGCGGTGCGCACGTGAACGCGCCTTGCCTAATGCAGAGGAATTCCTGATGCGGGCGGGAGCAGTTTCCTGTTATTTTACCATATAAATCTTTTGTATGGTAAAAATACAAGCCTTAATATCTCTTGTAAAACAAAGCTAATACAACTAGCGTTTATATATATATTAGATTATGAAATAAGGAATCATAGTGTAAGAGTATTTACTCTTACACTATGATTCCTTATTTCATAATCTAATAGAGCCATTATTACAAAAGTTACTAACGTACATGTATAGCGAAAGCGCCAAACAAGCGAAAGCGCCAAAATTATCTACCCTCACGACAAACATTGCGATAAATCTACCACAACATTAGAAATCAATTGAAACTACTCGGAGTCCTCTTCCTCAGAGGTGTCTATTACAATCTGACACGTGCGCGCATTGTGCCCAGTCTCACCACACTTGCCACAGCGACGGGCACGGGTTTCTTCCCTTGGCTTCCGACCACGGCTTGCCCTTATTTCCTGCTCTACCTGCTGCACAACATCCCTCTCATCCTGTAGCTCTTGCGCCCCTTGTTGACTAAGTGATCCTCCTTGCTGTAGTCGTGTTTTCCTAGCTCTCCGGCGCTTGCTTAGTACTTCATTTGCCTGTCGTAGGTTTTGGTTCTCTCCCTTTAGCAGTGCTAATTGATGCATTATTTGCGATGCACCCTTTGTAAACTGGTCAACAGCTGCATAGATTGAGGTTGGAGAGCTATTTTGATGGCGTGAAATCCGAGTTTTAATAAATGTAGACTGTGACATAGCTTCAATTGGGTTGTTTGGTGTCTGAGAAACCCAAGGTTGAGCAGTACCTGGGCGGGAGCTTGGAGGCGTTGGTGTCCTTAACTTAAGATCAAGTGTAGATATCACTCTCTCAGGGTCAAATGGAAGAAGCCCTGCCCCTCGGAACCCGCCTCAAATGTTACTTTCCGTCATTGTAGTGTTAAATGCAGCGTGGAAGGCAGGAAAGAAGTCATCCTTTGTAATATGAGAAATATGAGCCTGCATCATATCTTCAATTTGCCGACCATAGGCCTGCTTTAACGGGCCGAAACAGCCAACATCAAGTGGCTGGAGTAGATGAGAAGAGTGAGCAGGCATACAAAGCGTAATAATGTTGTGTTCCTTGCAGTACTCCTCAAACTCATCTGAGTGGTGGCTCTCATGACCATCAAGGACTAACAAGCGATAACCACCAACACTCCGGGCCTTTGTATGCTTCTCAAAGTGCTGAATCCAATCCATGCCTCTCTCGTTTGTAGTCCAGCCATTTTCAGTAACAGAAATCACCCAATCGCTTGAAAATCCACTATTCTCATACCAAGATGTAAGGTGGTTTTTGCCTGCAACAATGATAAATGGTGGTACTGCCCAACCTTGAGAACTAACGCCTTGGATTACTGTAACCCATTCCCGATTACCAGGCTGTACCTTCTTTGCTTTTGCCCGCCCGTCTGAGCTTGTTACAACCATAGCAGTTGAGATAACGCCCATCATAAACCCAGTCTCATCAAAGTTGTAGATATCTGCTTCATCGATACCATATTTCGCAATTGTGTTACGCACAAGCTCAAACCAGCCATTAATAACTTCTGGATCTTCGCACTTAGCCCTCTGGTAGTCGTATTTGCGCTGAAAGCGTGTCTGGAGCTCTACACGCCGCTTAACAAAGTTTGAAGCCCAACGCGACCCAACGCGTGACGCGTCGCGTGTTGCAAGTAGTCGACTTGCCATATCTTCAACAACAGACAGCCGAGGAGGAAACCCTTTGGCAGCTAGGTCGAGTATATACTGAACAAGGACGGACTCCTCTAGGTTAGTTAATTTCCGTGAGTTGGCTTGGATATCGCGTCGTGAAGGCGTAACTTTGGGTCGCTTTGCATAGCCTGGATAGCTAGCACTAATTGGCTTTCATCGTTTTTATGGGGCATGTTTTGTTGTTGAGGAATTTAACATTTAGTTGGGGGGTTTGGTCACCGCATCATTTTGGCGCTTTCGCTTGTTTGGCGCTTTCGCTATACATGTACGTTATATTAATGGCGCATTATAAATTAATATAATCGAAGTAATAGCATCATACTACAGTATTAACTATATTAACATATATATGATAGGGTAGAACAGTAGGAAATGGTCGTGGTGCGGTAGAGTCCAGAGGCATACTCTTACCATCGTGATTTTGGAAATTTCGCTCAGCTTCGCAGCGCAAAAATCGCTCATCGTGATTCCGGGGTGGTGGAGGTTATATTCGTTCATTTCTTGGGCATGGCCATGAGAAGGGGTTTATGGCGTAGGCTGCACTTGACTTTGTTACTTTTTACGTTTTTGTTCGTTATCCCCCTTTTACTCTTACCTCAAGCCTTAATTGGTCCGCTGTTCCCACCATAAGTCACCATCTTCGTGACCATATACTCCCCAACCCCATATTTCGACCCCTCCCTCCCAAACCCGCTCTCCTTCATCCCCCCAAACGGCGCCGCCGGATCACTGATAAGCCCCGTATTCACCCCGACCATCCCAACCTCCATGGCCTCCGCCACCCTTGCAACTCTCTGGATATCCTGCGAGTAAAAGTACCCCGCCAACCCCACATCTGACGCATTAGCCAACTTAATAACCTCCTCCTCAGTCTCAAACTTAAACAACCCCGCCACCGGCCCAAACGTCTCCTCATTCGCCAGCTTCATATCCGCATTCATCCCTCCCAGGATCGTCGGCGCATAAAAGTTCGCCCCGAGCTCAGGCAGCTTCTGCCCGCCCGCCAGCAGCTTCGCGCCCTTCCTAATCGCATCGTGCACGTGCTCGTCCACCTTGGCGACTGCCTTGGCGTTGATCACAGGGCCGTGAGTGACGCCCTTCTCGAAGCCGCTGCCGAGCTGGAACGTGGCCACTGCGTCGACGAAGGCGGAGGTGAAGGCGTCGTAGATTCCAGCCTGCACGTAGATGCGGTTCGCGCAGACGCAGGTCTGGCCTGAGGAGCGGAACTTCGAGGTGATGGCCCCAGCGACGGCGGAGGTGAGGTCGGCGTCGTCGAAGACGATGAAGGGAGAGTTGCCGCCGAGCTCGAAGGAGAGCTTCTTGAGGGTGGAGGAGGATTGGGCCATGAGGGTCTTGCCGACCCCGGTGGAGCCTGTGAAGGAGACCTTCTTGATGGTGGGGGAGGTGCAGATGGTTTTCCCGACGGCGGGCGTGTTGGTGGCAGCGGTGATGACGTTGACGACGCCCTTGGGAACGCCGGCGCGTTGGGCGAGCTCGGCGAGCGCGAGGGAGGTAAAGGGTGTCTCGCTGGGGGCTTTGCAGACGACCGTGCAGCCGGCGGCGAGGGCGGGGCCGACTTTACGAGTGATCATGGCGGCGGGGAAGTTCCATCTGTAGTCCGTTAGTATTGTCCCGCGATTTAACACATGGCTGGGCGGGAGAGAACATACGGTGTGATCAGTCCGCACACCCCAACTGGCTCCTTGAACGTCACGACCCTGTTCCCTGGGACACTGGCCGGGATTGTGTCGCCATACACGCGCGGCGCCTCCTCGCTGAACCACTCAAAGAAGTTGGCCGCGTAGGTCGCCTCACCCCTTGCGTCTGCGATCGGCTTCCCATTCTCCCACGTAATCAGGGTTGCGATATCCTCTTGGTTCTCGACCATCAGATCGTACCACCTGCGGAGCACCTTGGAACGCTCGCGGCCTGTCCAGGTCTTGAAGGACTTGAAGGCTGTCGCGGCGGCTGCGATGGCGAGTTCAGTGTCGGCGCTATCCATATCTGGCGCGGTACCGATGACTTTGCTGTTTGTTGGGTCTGGTGGGGTTGGTTAGCCGGGGTGTCTTGCTATTGGGGGTGGGTAGATGATGGGGAATCATGTACCATAGACATCAAAGGTCTTGCCTGACTTTGCCTTCACCCACTCGCCGTTGATGAAGTTAACATCGAGCTTGAGCAGCGACGGGTCGGATAGCTGCAAACCGTCAGTCGTCTGCCTCACCACTTTCCGGCACCTCCTCCTCTTGCCATAGCCAGGGAAACTCACCTTTGGGACATTATGGTTATTCATTGTGGAAGCGCGTCTCGTCTGGAGAATTGGCAGTGTAGATCGTTGAAACTTTGACTTTCTAGCCACGCTTAGAGCAGCAGAGGATGAAGATTTAAAAAGGGAGCTGTTCATTGCGCATAGCCGTGGTTCCGTGATGACGACCCCGCACGGTAGATAGACAGCCACTAGCAGTTTTCACAACACGCCGCGTCGCTGGGCAGCGATAAAGAACCGGAGAAGCGTATATGAGGGTAGATAATTGGTTTATAAAGTAAAGAAGTGAAGTCGGTGCAGAATTGGAATATATATGTCGTTGTTGATGTAAAAGTTCTTCGTCTAACTCCTCGCGGCTCAGATGACGCAGTGCCAATCCGCGCCGAAATTGCGGGGCAGGCTTATGTAACTCGCGCAACGGGAGAAAGACGGTGTGGGGAAAAAGGGGGAAAAGGGTAGAAAGGGGAGAAAGAGGAGAAAGTGGGAAAACCCCTCGCCACCAGTGCGATAACAAGCATTTTCTCCAATTTTTGCACAATTGTGCTTGGCTCGAAGCGGAAGTTCTATCCTGGATGATAGCTCTACCAGAGGGGCTTGTCTCGAAAAAGAACTTCTATCCTGCATTGATAGCTCTGGAACGGCAGTTCTATTTTGAATCGGACACTAGAATGTATAGTTCCACCCCAAGTCATGACTCTGAAGTGGCGGGTGAAGACGGAGAGAA